CTTCGATGCACATTGATTGAGATTCCTGTATAAAATTGTCATATAAAAATGACAACAATTGTGAGTAAAATATAAATGTGATAGTTATCCTCATTGTCAACTTGACTAGATTTAGTACCACGATGGAAACATCTCTGTGTTTGCATTTTCAGACGTTGTCAGGGAGTTTAACTGAGGAGGGAAGACCTCTGAATGTGAGTGGCACCTGTAGGCTGTGGGCCCAGACTGACTAACACCGGGAGGAGGAGTTGACACTGGGAGGAGGAGCTAACACTGGGAGTCCTCTTTTTCTGCTTCCTGACTGTGGACACAATGTGACCAGCCCCTCATGCTCCTGTCTCCACGCCTTCCCCACCATCTCCATCATACCCTGATGCAACAGGAACTCTTTTCCCCTGAAGTTAGTGCCTGCCAGGTACTTGAGCACAACAATCTGGAAAAGTAACTCATAGAAGTGAGGAAGTGACAATCCTGCTGCCCAGAGCTCACAGGTCAGATATTCAGTGGTGTTCCAGGTGTTTCCACCCAGCTTGGGGAACCACAGGCTCAAAAACAAAACAAAACTTGTGGTGTGTGTGTGTGTGTGTGTGTGTGTGTGTGTGTGTGTATGTGTGTGTGTGTGTGTGTGTTAGATAGTGTTATGTAGTCACATGCACGTGTCTGTGGATACGTATGTTTGTATGTTAGATCATGTGTGTGCATTTGTGTATGTGAGCATGTGTGTATGTGTGAGCGTGTGTGTGTGTGTGTGTGTGTGTGTGTGTGTGTAAATAAGAGTAGGTATTGAGGAAAAGAGGAGGAAAGCCCTGCTTTATTGTAAGACTGGGAATACAAGGGAATTAGACCCTTCTTGTGAGGTTTAAATCATAGTTTGTGGTATCTTACACATGGTTGATGTGATTCTTTGTCATACAGAAGAAAAGTAACTAGTGGGTAAAGTTTACCATGCCAAAGACCATTAGTCTCTGACAACCTAAGTTTGTACAGAGACCAAAAGTTCTCAAAAGAACCAAAGTGAAGGGTAAATTCCTTTTTAGATTAAAATGATCACTGGTGCCTTCCTTTTTTCTCTGGTATTGTCTAAAACTGTGTCTTCAGTTCTGCTCACACATGCAAAACCATTATAGAAATGTTTTGAATGTTGATTTTTTTTATTCCCACGTGTGTCTTAGACATCTCTCCATACGTGTGTGTGTGTGTGTGTGTGTGTGTGTGTGTGTGTGTGTATTATGTACTCCATGTCTGGGGTGTGGAGGTCAGAGGACAATATCTCCTGTCTTCCCACTGTGCACACTGCCTTTGAATTTCTGGAGGCTGTCCTGTCTTCTCCCATACTGTAGGAGTATTGAGAATCCCAATACTCACTACCCTGTGCTCTTTTATATAAGATTTGAAGATCTGAACTGGGGTTTCCAGGCTTCAGTGGCAAGTGCTTCTATCCACAACATAGTCTCCAAAGCCTAGACTTTCTTTGGGATTTAGTAATTTACAAAAGCATTTGTCTTAAGCCAAAGGACAGGCATAAGCACCAGCTAAGGACTTCTTAAGATACCTAAAACTTGAAGGCCAGGCCTGATGAGGGTCACTGATTGTAGATCATTTTAGGATTTTCTCCAAATACCTCATTTGCCATTTTCCTCCTCTATATTTTAGCAAAGGCTGTTGCATTGCTCCTGAGTCTTCCCAGGAAGAATATAGCAGCCTTTAGGGACAGAGATCCACCCCTAGTCCTAGCTTGCTAAAGTCAAGGTGTGAGAGATCTTTTACAAACTGCTGAAGATGAAGGGCCACGACTGACATCATACAAGCCCGTTTTTGCTCCTGTTCTCTTTGGAAATCTCATATTGAGAACAATTCATACATGTTATGAAAACAAGCCACTGGTCATCAGGGTTTTTCGTCAGCAACACCGGACCACCTGTGCATTCCTAACCTGCTTCATGCACTCTCCTGGGGACAGTGCCATGGCAGGGACGGTGATACCTCTCTGCACTCTGGGATCTGTTTACTGAGCTGCAGTCTTCATAGTCTTGAAGAGGTCTTTCACTGAGTGGTCACACAGAGAGTGCACTAGTGATCAAAGCACAGCATTGGAATGCTTCGGATTGGTGTCAGCTGGGCCTCACTTAAGAGTCACCTAGGAGACACACCTCTGAGTGTACTATAGAAATCTAAGGGCAGCCCTTCTTGCTGACTCACCAAATGCATGCATTTCTCAGTGATGATTTCATCAGGGGTTGTGGCGGGGAAGTGCCTGGGAGATGTCAATCAGCGGAATTAGATGGATGACCACCACTGAGTCTTCTCAAGTCTTCTGGAACCAGCTACTTCTGTGTGGATTTCAGGCTTTACTTGACTATGGTAAGCTGGACTGTGGCAATCTCACACTTCTGCTGAATGAGTCTATTTACAACAATGTTGGAGTTTGGACCATGCCATCTCATGGGGACTAGTCCTAGAAGAGTAGATTTTGTTCTGGGTCCTGAACTGGTGACTAAGTACTATTAAGTATTACCAAGTAGTAGTACCCTTCACACTGGTGGCCACAGCAAGGGATTTGGGGTGACCTTCTCTGGCCAGCTGCACAGCTGCCCTTCTGAGACTGACAGGGTTTTGATTGCTGGGCTTCCATACATTGGAGTCCATGTTAGGCTGGAGCATTTTCTCCAGTGGCTCAGCTCCATGCAGCCCTGTTGCAGAGTGGGATGTCTGGAGTCGACAGGATCCATAACTTGGTTGCGTTATAAAGTGAACTCACTTTTAGCAAACTCACCATGTAAAAGCGCAGTGACGGTAACGCATCAAAGAGAGACTAACGGAGAGTCTTAGGCCATGTACAGAACATTTTAATACACAGATCACGTTACCATACATTAGCACAATGCCTCAAAACACAGTGTAATTCTACAGGGAGATAAATATATATATATCCCCGATCATCAAACCTCATTTGGACACACTTATATGAGGCCTGCCTGATTGTTCTTTGTCTAATAACAGCTTATGAAACAACACTAGTCTATCAAGAGGGTAGGGCATGAGCTGAATTATTGCTGGAAGGAGCCAACCACTGCTTAGTCTGCTTGGTTGCCTGTTTATCTATTTAACAATTAGACATCAAACTCCAACACAGATTGAAACCTAGGCCCTTTTTTCTTTTTCAGATCATTTAGCCAAATAACATCACGAAGCTTCCAGCTTAAAAGAGAACAGCCCATGATTTTATCAGTGAACACATTATTACAGAGAAGCTAAAAGCTTTAAAATCAGTGTGGGATGTCCTACCCTCCAAAGTTCCTAAGTAAATCCCCCTTCACAGTATCATTTCTCTGTATCAGTCAATCATGGGACCCAAGATATCTGCCTGTAACACTTAACAAATGTCAATTAGATCACTCCTCGTTTCCCAACAGAGAACATATGCTTTACAAAGTGAACACCCAGATTTAACATTGAAAAAGTAAAGCGATGTATGATCTAATCCAAGTTTGGTTTTTACTGTGATAATAAGATGTTGTAAGTCTTCCCTTTAGGAAAAAGGGATTTTTGAATATTTTAAGCACAGAGATCTCACACCTCCTGAGAATGCGCAAGGGTTTGGGGGTACATTTAGAATGATGGCTCATTTTCCAAGTATACTCTCTTCATGGTCTACTTTAATTAGGGAAAAAGACATACAGTTTCCCTTAGCCAGGAGAAACTATATTCCAATTTAGAAGATTCAACCTCCGCTTCAAGATTGCTTTCCTGTCATGTGACCGACCAAGTGGGTGTCTGCCTATGTCCTCTGGGATTTCCCTAGGTGAACTAAGTACACAGCACTTAACTAAAAAAAATCACAATCTACGGGGGGGAATGTGACTCAAATTTCTCTTAGAAAATATCTATATAGGAGTTGGATAATGCACACATGTAATTGAGATGGGGAATTAAGGCAGAGGTATCATGAGTTCCAGACCAGCCTGGGCTACATAGTTATATATATATATATATATATATATATATATATATATTTTTTTTTTTTTCAA